CTGTGTCTGGTGCTCATGGCTGTGGTCAGCTGGAGCGCACCCATTCCACCCTCAGCAGGGGGTGCTGGTGCCAGAAGGGAGCTTGCAATCTCTTACCTGCCGGCACTGTACTGGAACCACATCCGGGATGCCTAGATGTCTGGCTGCACCCACAGTAGCTCACTCTCCATTCTGCCTACATCTCTGTTTATCTCAGACTAGAGCGATCAGTCCTGGGCTTCCTTACTTATTGCTCCTAGACGTGGCAAGCATCAGTCACTGTGACTGTTTCCACGAAAAAATATCACCTCTGACATGTTGGGTCATTTTTTTTTTTTTGCTTTTTGGGTCACACCCGGCAATGCTCAGGGGTTACTCCTGGCTCATTCACTCAGGAATTACTCCTGGCGGTGCTCGGGGGACCATATGGGATGCTGGGAATCGAACCTGGATTGGCCATGTTGGCCGCGTGCAAGGCAAACGCCCGCCCTACTCGCTGTGCTATCGCTCCAGCCCGGGGTCATTTTTTTTTTTTTTTTTTGGATAAGGAAAGGGGTTGGGTGACTCCCAGGAGCTCAGGGGCTACTCTTGGCTTTGTGCTCAAAGATCACTCCTAAAGGTGCTTGGGGAACACGTGAGGTCAGGGATGGAACCAGGGGTCAGCATGTGCATGGCAAGGGTTTTACCCCCATCCTTTCTCTCCAGCTCCTTGATCAAGCTTTCATGCCAATTCAGCCAAGTTCCACTAAAGTGTGAGCGTGAAAGAGTTTCCATTGATTATATTGTGTTAATGTGTTTCCCCTTTCTGGGAACTAAGGGGTCCTTCCCTTCTTTCTCCCATCTGTGTTTGTCTTCTTCTCATCATTTTTTTCTGCCAAGGAAATCATTAGGTTATTTTTTTTTTTTTTGCTTTTTTTGGGTGGGTCACACCCAGCATTGCACAAGGGTTACTCCTGGGTCATGCACTCAGGAATTACTCCTGGCGGTGCTCAGGGAACCATATGGGAGGCTGGGAATGGAACCCAGGTTGGCTGCGTGCAAGGCAAATGCCCTACCCACTATAACTCCAGCCCCCAGTCCTTAGGTTATTGAATAAGCATGAAAATTTCCTCCGAGTTTGTCATTTGTTATTAACAGGTCTGTCGCATATCAAGTTGGAATTTTTTTTTTTTTTGCTTTTTGGGTCACACCTGGAAATGCACAGGGGTTACTCCTGACTCATGCACTCAGGAATTACCCCTGGAGGTGCTCAGGGGACCATAGGGGATACTGGGAATCGAACCCGGGTTGGCAGCATGCAAGGCAAACGCCCTACCTGCTGTGCTATTGCTCCAGCCTCTCAAGTTGGAATTTTTATGTTTGTTTGGGGGCCACACCTGATTATGCTCAGGGTGACTCTTGGGTCTGTGTTCAGGGGTGTCAGGGATCAAACCTGGGTCAGCTGCATGTACTATTGCTCTGGCCTCTGGTTATGGAAGCAGTTCTGGCTTCCGGGGTTTGTGTCAAAACTCAAAAGCATCTTGAAGAGTATGAACACAGATTCTCCCATAAGTTGTCGTACAAGTTTGAGGTTTCTTTTTCTTGTGTGTGTGTGTGTGTGTGTGTGTGTGTTTTGGGTGCCATACCTGGTGATGCTCAGGGGTTTGTCCTGGCTCTGCATTCAGAAATTACTCTTGGCAGTGCTCAGGGTATCATATGAGATGCCAGGATTGAATCTGGCCACGTGCAAGGCAAGCACCTGCATCCTACTCACTGTACTATTGTTTCAGCCCTTTTAAAAGTATTTAACTTGGGAATGGAGCAAAATAGTACAGCGGCCGACCCGGGTTCTATCCCAGCAGCCCATATGGTCCTCGGAGCTCTGCCAAAAGTGATCCCTTAGCACAGAGTCAGGAATAATCCCTGAGCACCTCCGGGTGTGGCCCAACCCCCCCAAAATTAAGCTATTCTCTCTCACTTCTCTTCTCTATGTATCTTTCTCTCTTTCTTTGCCAGGGAGTCACACCCTGTGGTACTCAGCTTAGGGATCACTCCTGGCAGTGCTTGGGAGACCATATGCAGAGTCAAAACTATGGTTGAGGGCTGGAACAATAGCACAGTGGGTAGGGCATTTGCCTTGCATGCGGCCAACACGGGTTCGATTCCCAGCATCCCACATGGTCCCCTGAGCACCGCCGGGGGTAATTCCTGAGTGCAGAGCCAGGAGTAATCCCTGTGCATCTCCGGGTATGACCCCAAAAGAAAACAAACAAACAAACAAACAAAAAACTATGGTTGACTTCGTGCAAGGCAAGTGCCTTACCTCAAGGACTAGCTTTTGAGCCCTCTAACCTAATTTTCCCTCCGGAGCTGGTTGGTGTACATTGAGGGGGCAGGGGAAAGGGAAAGAAACGAAGGGCAGTGACCTACCTTCTGCCTAAGTCGGGCACAAGGGAGCCTTCATGGTCAGTGGGTGGAAGGGCATCTGCAGGTGGCACCCACAACCCAGGTCTGCCCCAAGTAGGGAGATATGTCCACGCCAGGGTAGAGATTGTATTTCTTCCCAAAGCCTTGAGAAGGTGGGAGGGAGCGTCAGAAATCTGGATGAAGGATCTCTCCACCCACTCTCCAGATGTCCAAGGGAGGAGGAGGTGTGCCCCACTCCAAGGACTATTACATTAATCAAATCTGGTAGAGGGACTGGTTTGATGGGGTGGATCTCAACTAGCTCCTGGGCATAGGAAGTGTAAAACTGGGGCCACTCAGAGCCCCCCAGCAGCCACTTGCTTCCACAATCCAAAATCCCTGCCATCTCCCTGGCTTGACTCCACTGTCTCAGGACGGACCTCGCCAAAATATAATCTGCTGAAAATTCTGGTATGCAGGTATTGTGACTGAAATATCCACGCTTTCTTGGGGTTGGGATGGGCTACCTCCCCCCCCCCATCTCCCTGTACTTCTGGAAGCCTTGGCAATCAGAGCCACACCCCAAAGCGGCCACCCAATTGAAAAGCTACTCCAGCTTTACTGTCCTGATAAAAATACTGAATGCCCTGTACAAACACCATGACCTCTTAGCACCTGTATTGCAAACCATAATGCACAAAAGGAAAAGGATAGAGAGAGAGCAAGAAGGAAAGTGCCTCCCATAGAGAGAGGCGGGGGATGGGGGTTGGGAGATGGGGGACATTGGTGGTCAGAAATGTACACTGGTGGAGGGATGGGTGCTAGATCACTGTATGACTAACTGTATGACTGAAATCCAACTATGAAATGCTTTGTAATGGTCTATCTCATGGATATCCAATTAAAAAAAAATTTTTTTTAAATGTAATATAGGGCCTGGAGCAATAGCACAGCGGTTGGGCATTTGCCTTGCACGTGGCCGACCCAGGTTCGATTCCCAGCATCCCATATGGTCCCCTGAGCACTGCCCGGGGTGATTCCTGAGTGCAGAGCCAGGAGTAACCCCTATGCATAGCCGGGTATGACCCAAAAAAAGCAAAATAAATAAATAAATAAATAAATGTAATGTAGGGCTGGAGAGATAGCACAGCAGGTAGGGCGTTTGCCTTGCATGCGGCCGACCCAGATTGATTCCCAGCATCCCATATGGTCCCCTGAGCACCGCCAGGAGTAACTCCTGAATGCAGAGCCAATAGTAACCCCTGTGCATCGCCAGGTGTGACCCAAAAAGCAAAAAAAAAACCAATGTAATGTAGGAGTTCATGCCCAATTCAATCAGCTTAATCAATGGCTGAATAAATAGCAGTACTCCTACATTCACACTGTCACTGTCCTCCCGTTGTTCATCGATTGTCTCCAGCAGGCCCAGTAATGTCTCCATTTTGAGACTTGTTGTTACTGTGTTTGGCATATTGAATACTGTCACAGATAGCTTGCCAGGCTTTGCCATGCGGCGAGGTACTCTTGGTAGCTTGCCGGGTTCTCCAAGAGGGGCGGCGGAATCTAACCCGGATCAGCCGCGCTGGCTGCGTGCAAGGCAAACACACTGCCGCTGTGCTATCGCTCCATCGCACTCCTACATTAAAAATAAAAAAAAAACTGGGGCCACCGAAATGACCTATGACCTGACCAGGGGAGGCCTTGACTACTGTCCAAGTTCTTCCGTGGTTGCGTTGTTCTTGTTTTTTTAATGATGTTAAGTGGATTGTTAGAGAACTGAGTTACATTGTGATAAAAACAATAATGATGGTCATGCTGACAATCCAAGGCCGGGTATTTCTAAAAGGAGATAAATTTCAGGAACTCGGGGTGCATCACCTAACCCTCATAACTCTATCAACATCATCACAGAAGGCGGAGGGGGGCCTCTTTCTTTCTTGCAGAGGCTGGGCAGTGCGCTTCCAAGCGGGGCCCAGGAGGTCCAGGGGCGACCACCAACCCTCCGCCTGCCAGTGGGCTCCAGCCAGGCGGTTCCCGAACCAGCCCGGAGGTGCTGGGGAGCTGGGCTGCTCGGGGACCGAGCAGGCGCCAGGACTCGGCCCGAATCAGGCGCGTTTTCAGGGGCGCGCCTCAAACCCCGGTGCCATCTCACGGCCCTCATCCTGGAGTTTTCAAACACACTCGACCTGCAGCTCCGGTCTGCTCCCGGTTCCGCCACTTCCCCGCCCACCGGCACTGCCCCACCTGAGCCGGCCCTGAGCCGGCCCGCATTCCATCCTGTCCTCCCGCGCGGCGCCGGGAAGGACCTCGGCGGCCAGTGGCCTGCGGCCCGTTCATCGTCGGGTGAGGGGGGCCGAGGGGGGGGAAGAAGACGCCGCGGACACGCTCGATCGCCCCCTCGGAGGCCGAGGCGCAAAGGCCCGAGGCAGCGGCCGAGAGAGCCGGGCAGCAGTCGGGCGGGGACCCGGACACGCCAGCGCGCCGAGTAGGACGTGCGGACTCGGGCGGCCGCCGAGGGGCGTGACCGGCGCAGCCGGGGGGCGTGGCCTCCGCCGGGGCTGTACCAAGAGAGCGGGCCGTGGGGGCCGCCGAGCTCCGGGCGCGGCGCGCGCAGCCTGCGGGCGCGGGGTGGAGCCGCGGCGGCCCCGCCCCCACCCCCGGCCGGCGAGGGCGGTGGTAGCGGCCGGGGGGGATCTGGGCCTGCGTCCTGCGCGGGGCTCGAGAGAGCTGCCCGGCCGCCCGCGGTGAGTGTACGCGTCCGCGGGCGCCCGGGCGCGGGGCGGCTGGGTTCGGGGCCCGGCGTGCCGGGGGCGCCGGGGACGGGTGGGCTCCCGGGCTGGGCGTGGGGATGGGTCTGCTGCGCGGGTCCCGCCTCGGTCCTGCCCGTCCAGCCCACTCCTGAGGCTGCGGCTCGGGAGCGCCGAGGATTCAATCCCCCGCCCGGCAAGGGCCCCTGGGCCTCGGCTTCACCATCTCCGAGTTCTGCCGCTGTGCCTCAGTTTCCCCGCAGGAAGCTTCCTGTTGCCGTGGACGCGCGTGGCGGGTTCTGGGGACTCGCTCTGCGCCGTCGGGGGCGACCCGGGGCTGGGGGGTGGTGACAGGTGCCTTGGTGGCTACCGCCTGGTCTTTGCCTGACTAACGTCACCCTTAGGTCCCAGGAGGTCACCGGGTAAAAGGTCGCGGTCCCCCGGGGAGGTGCGGGGTGCCGTCCAGGAACTCGGCCTTTGGCCTTTGCTCTCTGCGGCCAGGCCCCTCCTCTGATCTGGACTGGAGCAGGGGGCCTTTCGGGGAAGGGAGCGGCCACCTCTCTTACGCCCATCAGTTTCTTTGGGGGTGGGGTGCTGCTGGAATGTGGGTCGGTGGACCCCTTCCCGGGAGTAGGGCGCGCACCGCCTGTGTACCCCCAAACGCTGAGGGTCTGATGCTTCAGTGGGAGTTCCTTTCGGGGGGCGCCTTTCAGGGGGTCCCCTCTCCAGTGGCCCTCCGTGCGTTGCTGCCGGTCCTGGGTGCTCCTGTCTGAACCATCCCTAGGTTCTGCCTGTACAAGTGGCCGGGGTGGCCATGGGCTCCTGGTTGATGTGTCCCCCTACTCCTTCTTCGGGCTTCTCTAACGCAGTCGCGCTGTGCTCTTGAGAGAGGGGCCAGGGGTCCCCCACATTCCATGGTCCCTGAGGTAAAAAAACTCTTGGCACCTTCGGCGTCCTCACGTGTTCTGGGATCAGGATCCGGAGTAACAGCTCCCGGCTACCTGCGGCCAAAATTCCCCAAGGGGTTCCCAAAATTCATCCTTTCTGGCACTTGCGGAAAAACACCTCAGGGAGGAGGCAGAGATAAGGGGAGCCCCAGGGATATCCTTCAGCGCCTGGAAGTGACCCCATCAGGCCTGAGCAGGCCAGCAAGCAGGACCTGCTGGTGACTCGGGATGAGTCTCCTTGTTCTTGAAAATCAGGCTGAGTCAGATCAGTCTGTGTTCTGGGGAGGTAGGACTAAAGTCAGGACAGTTAAACCCAGGGAACTTTCAGGTTAGTAAGAACTTAGCTTTTCTGGGGCTGGAGTGATCCTTACTTGCCATGCACACTGTCCACCAGGGTTCCTTCACCGGCACCCCATATAGTCCACTGAGCTCCGCCAGGTGAACCCTCCACTCGCCTCTAAAAAAAAAAAAATTGAGTTTTGAGTTTTTAAAAAAAGGGGGGAATTTAAAAAAAAAAAGAATTTAGCGTCTCAGCAACTTGGTTTTGCCCCTTGCCATGGAAGCCTCTTAAGTTCTGCTACCTTTCGTGCTCCGTGGCGGAAGACCCTCCAATCCTGGCTTTGCGCTGCCAGCCTGGCATGCACCCTGGCACCCCGGACTTGGTGTGTGTCAGTTCACTTCAAAACCAAGATCAGTGCCCAGAGCGATAGCACAGGGGTTAAGGCCTTGTATGGGGCAGGCCTGGGTGCAAATCCTGATATCACACGGGGTCCCCCAAGCACCACTTGGAGGGATCCCTAGGCACTGCCAGGTGTGGCTCAAAAACAGAAGATCAGGAAAGAGTGAAATGAAAAATGACCGGATTTATGAAAATGTACATTTTCTGTTTGTGAAACTATTAAGTGCTCATATATATACACATACATATGTATATATACATATATGTGTATATGTACATGTATACACATATGTACTTTCGTACACATGTATATCCAAGTTATACATACAAGTTTTCTTTATGTTTTGGGCCACACGCGGCAGTGCTCAGAGTTTACTCCTGGCTTTACTCTCAGGGATCACTCCTAGTGGTGCTGAGGGGATCCTATGGGATGCCAGGGATTAAACCGAGGTCATTCATGTACACGGCAAGCACCTTACCCTCATAACTATCCCTCCAGCCCTCAGGTGCTCAATATTTTTTTTAAATTACAAAAATATAGAATGTAGTGAATATCCTGCATAATCCCTTACAGTGAGACCAGAAAAAATAATCCTTACTGGTTGTGAGGACATTTTCGAGATATCTTTGGTCACATATAAAAATATTTTTTATTACTCACTTTTTTCTTTTCCCGAAAATTAACAATCACTGTCACTGTCATCATCATCATCGATTTCCTCGAGCAGGCACCAGTAACGTCTCCATTCGTCTTCGCTCTGAGATTTTAGCAAGTGCCACATTGGAGGCTCTTTCAGGGTCAGGAGATTGAGACCCATTATTGTTACTGGGTTTTGGCATATCGAATACGCCACGGGGAGCTTGCCAGACTCTGCCGTGCGGGCAGGATACTCTCGGTAGCCTGCCGGATTCTCTGAGAGCGAGAACTAGGCCCGAAAATTCACAAACATGAGAAAATTAAAAACAACATGAGGGGTGCATAGGGTGGGTGTTCAGGGACTGTTTCTGGGCTCTGTGCTCGGGAGTGATCCCTGGTGATGCTTGGGTAACCATATATGCTATGCCAGGGACTTTGAATCTGGGTCATGCATGGTTGATGTAGCTGTGTGCAAGGCCTTACATGCTGTATGATCTCTCTGGCCCCTCAGACATTTTTAATTCAGTAAACTTTATTTGGCTTTTTGTTTGGTTTTGTTTTGGGGCCACAGCGGGCAATGCTCAGAGGTTACTCCTGACTCTTCACTCAGGAATCACTCCTGGTGGTGCTTGGGGACCTTATGGGATGCTGATCCAGCCTGGGTCGGCCGCGTACAGGGCGAGCTCCCTCCCTGCTATGCTATCACTCCGGCCGATGGGGCTGCTTTCTGTTACCTAACATGATGTCTTCCTGCATCATGAAGGAAAGACGCATCCCCTCTCAAAGGAAAATAGTTACCAACAAATGACAGAATATTTAAGTAACCAAAATGTTTTGGTGGGGGAAATGCATGTAATTTGCGTTTTTTTTAATTCTGCTGCAGTGAGTATATTCTAGAAGTACATGAACTACACAGCGGATATCCTCCCTAAGCTTGCACTTAGATCTCTCTGTGGAGGAAAATCCTACAGAGAAGAGCGTGTGTGCAGAAGTGGTGTGATTAAATGGCAATAGATTGACCAAACTCCCAGCCAAAAAGGGTACTTCTGGCCAGAGCCATAGTTCAGCAGGGAGGGCCCTGGGTTCAGTGCCCTGCACCCAGATGGTCTCTTGACCCCCTCGTGAGTGATCCCTGAGCACAGAGTCAGGAGTAAGCCCTGAGCACAGTCAGGGGTGGCTCTCAAACCAAAAAGACCAAAACCAAAAAGGGTATCTTGCTTCATGCCCCCCACAGAGAGCATCTTGCTTTGGTTTTTGTTTTTGAGTCAGACCTGGCGGTGCTGGGGGCTACTTCCAGCTGGACAGTGACTGGGACCTGAGCGGTCCTGCATGTAGAGCAAATGACCCAGTCTGTTGAGCCACCTCCCTGGCCCCAGGATTGTTTAGGAGGAGGGGTTTGAATCACTTGGAGGTGCTCAGGGCTGACTTCTGGCTCTGTGCTCTGGGGTCACTCCTGACCGAACTCAGGGGGCCCTGTGGAGTGCTGGGAATCCAACCTCGATCAACAGTGTGCTAGGCAAGTGCCTTAACCCCTGTACATCTCCAGCCCCCTAGAATCATCATTGTGGATTCAGAATTCTAAGGCTCATGCTGAAAACTAAATGGTCCCTGCAGGGATGCTCGGATTTCAGGGAAACCTGTGTTAAGTTTCGTGTGTCATGTGTGCAGTACCCTCTGTGTGCACTTTTTCAAGTTCTGGTTCCCCCAGAAGACTGGTTTTTCTGTGTCCCCTAAGCAGGTGGGGAGCATTCTCCCGAGTGTTCTCCCCAGGTCAGGCTCTGGGGCTACTGCTCACAGGACCCCCTCTCCCCCCCGCGGTGTTGGCTCTTCTGAGTGCCAAGGATTCTCGAGCTCTGAAAGGGAAAATTCCCAGTTCACAAAATCACAGATTCACCTGTGTGTTCCTCCTGGCCTGCGCTCAACCCTCGAGGGTTTCTGTGTCTCTCCTGTGGGTCTCGCTAGACATTGCGTCACATACAAGAAACCTCAGTGTGGGGCTGGAGTGATAGCACATCAGAGAGGGCGTTTGCCTTGCAAACGGCCTACCCAGGTTCAATTTCCAGCATCCCATATGGTCCCCTGAGCACCACCCGGGGTTATTCCTGAGTGCAGAGCCAGGAGTAACCCCTGTGCATCTCCGGGTGTGACCCAAAAAGCAAAGAAAAAAAAAACAAAAAAGAAACCTCAGTGTTTGACAGAGGACACCGGCTCCCTGTGACCCTTTTTTTGTGGGATGGGGGGATGCACACCCAGTGATGCTCAGGGTTACTCCTGGCTCTGCACTCGGGAACTACTGTTGGTGCTCTGGGGACCATATGGGATGCTGGGGATCAAACCCAGGTGAGTCATGTGCAAGGCCAGTGCCTGCCTGCTGTCCTGTCTCTCTGGCCTTGACCCGGGACTGTTTTTATAGAAAGGCTGCAGCACTCGGTATGCTCCCCGCCCTGTTTTTATAGAAAGGTTGCAGCACACGGCATGCTCCCTGCCCCCATTGCTCATCGTTTTGTCCACTGGTGATTCAGACAGAGAGCAGCGGGGAGAAGTGACCCCATGCCAGTTAACTGTCATTCAGGGGCACCGCCAGTGCTGGCCCGGCCCAGTCCTTGTTTTCTGTACCAGTGAAATGGGGGAAAGAGCCCCGTTCCCTGGGGTGTGGCGCTTCCACCCTGAGTGGTCCCCGTTGTTGGTGACTCTTGTCCCTGACGAATGGCACTTAAAGCACGTGTGTGGGCCT